AGAAAAATAGGAACCACCTTTGGTGGGAAGGGAACAGCGTTCCATGCGCCTTCGGCATTTAGTCACTCCAGCCATATGACCACGGAGACGTCTTCGGACAGCGCTAGCTCTTTGGCTTTGAAACAGAGATGAGCACTGCCTCCTAGAGTCAGGAACGACTATCACATATGTGCAAGGGGATCTTTACCACTTCACAGTGCTTTACATCCCTCTCTAAGCAGTTTACAAAGCCAGCCTATTGCCCCCAACAATCTGGGTCATTTTACTAACCTCAGAAGTACAGAAGGCTCAGTCAATCTTGAGCCAGTCAGCATCAAACTCCTGGCTATGGGCAGAGTTAACTTGAAATACTGCATTCTAAGCACTGCACCACCAGGAAGAAGAATGAGAAAGGGAATAAGAGATGGAGGGAGGGAAGGAGGGAATTCCCTTTCTCATTCTCCTTCACAACGGCGCAGTGGTTAGAATACGGTATTGCAGGCCGGCTCTGCCCACTCTCAGCAGTTCAATCTTGACCACGCTCAAGGTTGACTCAGCCTTCCATCCTTCCAATGTTGATAAAATGCGGACCCAGATTGTTGGGGGAAAATATATTGCCTCCAAACCGCTTTAGAGAGGACTGGAAAGCACTGTGAAGCGGTATATAAGTCTAACTGCTATTGCTATTGCAGTGATTCAGATTTTATTCCAAATTGTGCTTTTGGGAATATAGAGGAGTGTGCACAGTCCTTGAGAAATGATGCAGCTGCTTTAAAGCACTGCAGAGAGACGTTTCATTCATGCATCTGCATCTTCCTTTTAAATTATTTATTTTCCATTTTCATAACATATAAACACATGTATACTATTACATAGCCAATATCCTATTGTATTAAATAGTAATTGCATCAGTTCCNGACATCTTCAAGTTGCCAAGGTTGAGAAACACTGATCTAGGTCATGGTTGTCCCAAAGATGCTTTTTAAAAAAGCAACTGGATTTTCACAGAGCTGAAGAAGTTTCTTGGATGAGAAGCGAAATGTCTTCAAAAGAAAATACAAGAAAGTCCAGTTGCCTCTTGAAAAAGCAGTCGGCGTGAGCTTGAATGGACTCCAGAGGATGGTAGAGGACAGGAAGGCCTGGAGGAACGTTGTCCATGGGGTCGCGATGGATCAGACATGACTTCACAACCAACAGCAACGAATTCTATCGGTTAGAATCAATAGACCATTTTTTCCCCGCCTTATCCCCTACAATGGTGGTGGTGGAATTTAATTAGATCCATGCAGAACATATAATAGGCACTGCAATGCATCTTCAAATCTTATGGTTCATATTTTGCTCCTTTCTTTTTAGTTAAGAGACATTTTAAATTACTGTAACGTGTGTAGCTTCTCACTCTATTATCACCGTTGTATTATTCTTTGCAGTTCACTATTTTATTTTTAATCAACTGGGGTTTTTGGGTGATATATAACATGTAAGTGGGGAAGAGTTTTCTTGAAGGACTGGTTGGGCAAAAAATGTACAGAGGTGAAAGGAAAAACATCATTAAGGTAGAAGTTAATTGCACAAACTTTTGCAGGTGGTCCTCGAGTTACGACCACAATCGAGCCCAAAATCTCTGTCGAGAAATTTGTTTTGCCCCATTTTACGACTTTTCTTGCCACATTGTGAATCACTGCAGTTTTTTAAATTAGCAACTTGGTTGTTAAGTGAATCTGGCTTCCCAATTGAGTTTACTTAGCAGACGGTTACAAAAAGGTGATCATGTGACCCCGGGATACTGCAACCGTCATAAATCTGAAGCAGTTGTCAAACATCTCAATGTAAATACAATACAATACAATAGCAGAATTGGAAGGGACCTTGAAGGTCTTCTAGTCCAACACCCTGGCTAGGCAGGAAACCCTATACCGTTTCAGATAAATG